GAGAGAGAGAGGGTGAGAGACAGGTAGATAAAAAGGTAATCAGAAAGGAAGCCGGAGAGAGGGAGGGAGATAAGGAGTCGACAGAAGAGAAGGAGAGAAAGAATGTGTTAATGCGTGTGTAAGAGAGAAAGAGAGAAAGAAAAAGGGAGAAAGTGATAGAGGGAGAAAGAGTTAGTGCGTATGTGAGAAAGAAACAGAAAGAAAGAGGGATAGAGAGAAGAAAACGAGAAAGAGCAGAAAGAGAGAAGACCGAGAAAAACCGCAAAAGAGACACAGCCAGCTCCACGATAAAGCCCCGAAGTCCCTGCCGCCCTTTGTTGCGTCCCCAGAAGCGGCAGCGAAGGACCTCCACGTGTCCCGCCGTACAATACCTCCTGAAGGGTCCTTACAGGGGGTGGAGCTTCCGTCATTACCCTGTCGTTTGTGTCAAGATCCCTGCCAGGGTTTCGGACAACGCGGTAGGGGATTAAGAGAGAGAGAGAGAGAGAGAGAGAGAGAGAGAGAGAGAGAGAGAGAGAGAGAGAGCGTGGATGAGTAAAATCGCGTGAGAAAGAGAGAGACAAAGAAGCAAAAGAGACAATAACAGAGCCAGCGAGAGCGCGAGAGGGCCAGAGAGCGTGGCAGAGCGTGAGAAAGCGTGAGAGAACGTGAGTGTGAAGCTGTGAACGGTTCCTTTTGTGCGTTCGCGAGGAGGTCGTGATCCCGTTCATTGTTCCACGCCCAGAACGTTTCCTCTTCCCGTTTTCCTGACCTCGATCTGTTATTTGTGGGCGTTATTTGGTGATTTTGTCCTTCAGTGGGGTCAGAGGTCAGCTTTGGCGTCTATTGTCTGGGGATCTTATTTTTCTCTACCTTTCTGTATCTAGATATTTATTTATCTATCTATCTATCTTTATCTATCTATCTATCTCTGTCTATCTATCTCTATCTGCCTATCTATCAATCTCTGTCTGTCTATCTATCTATTTATTTACCTATCTACCTATATATTAAGCAGTTAGTCTATCCATCTATCTATATCTCAATGTCAATCTATCTATCTCTATCCCTAAATCTATCCATTTCCTAAGCAACATATTCATCTATTCTAAAGAAAGACTTATATGTGTGCCTGTGTGTGCGCGTGTGTTTGTAAGTGTCCCATATGTGCGTATCTCGTCTGACTTGAGAGAAAGACTATGCGTGCGCCCGTGTGTGTGTGTATGTGCGTGCGTGCGTACACATGTGCGTATCCCGTCCCACACAGCCTGGTTTCTTGTGGTCAGCTCCCACCAGGATGCGAGACAAAGGTCGCGTCATCTCTCGACTTGACCTCTCTCTCATCACCATGCACAGGGGGGGGGGGCGTCGGGGGGGGAGGGGAGGGTCAGTGCAATGTCTGTCTTCCTTTTGCTTTTTTTTTTTGCTTTCGTGGTGATTGTGGGAGGGGGGAGGGAGGGGGGGGAGGGGAGGGGTTAGATGAGGGTTGGGGAGAGGATAGAGAGAGAGAGATGAAGAGGGATGTGGGTAAAGTAGAGAATGAGAGGAGAGGTGAAAGGGGAGAGAGAGAGAGAAGAGAAAGTGAAAAGAGAAGAAGATAAAGAGAGAGAAAGAAAGAGAAAGGGGTAAAAGGGAAGGGAGAGAAAGAGAAAGAAAGAGAAAGGGGTTAAAAGGGAAGGGAGAGAAAGAGAAAGAAAGAGAAAGGGTAGCAGCTTATAGTCTTTTTTTCTTTTCTTTTTTCTTGCCGCGTGTATTTTTGGTCGCCTCCAACTGCAACGATGACAGGAATTTCAACCTTCTGCACATTCTCTGATCTCTCGCCAACTTGCCAAGCTTCGGAGTTGCGTTGCAGAAATGTTGCGAGACGTTGCATTTGCACGAGAGGGAAATCTGGCGACGAGGAATGCAGGGGGGAGGGGGGAGGGAGAGGGGGGTACTGGTATGGTGGTTAGGGACTTTTTTACTTTTTTTTTTACGTAAGAATCTCCCGCTGTTGCTGTGCGTTGTCCCTTTAGTTATATATATATATATATATATATATATATATATATATATATAATATATATATATATATATATATATTTCTTAACTAATAGAGATAGAATAATTCCCATTTTCAAATAATAAAATATTATATAAAGCAAAAAGGAGAAAAGACAAACAATAACAAAAAAAACGATAAAGATGTGATAAATATACGAATAGCGAGAGAGGGAGAGAGAGAGAGAGAGAGAGAGAGAGAGAGAGAGAGAGAGAATAATAAGATAAATTAAGAACATAGGCTCAGGGTCGATAGCGTGAGCAGCATCCTTGGCAACATGGGTGATGAGAGGTAGGCTGGGTCTAGGTCTAGTAGCCTGTGCCCCGTGGAGTGCCAGTCAGTGCCAGTGCCAAGCCATACTCTTTTTTTTAAGTGCCCCGAGTGCCAGAAATATCTCGAGTCTTCGCGCCCGTGTTTGTATGTTTGTACGGATATAGATTTGTGGTGTGAGGAGAGGGAGGGAGGGAAGGAGGGGAGGGAGGGAGGGGAGGGAAGGGGGAAGGGGGGAAGGTGGTGTGGGGAGAGGGAGGGAGGGAGGGAGGAGGGGAAAAGGGGGGGGTTGGAGGGAACACAAGGACACGTTGTCTATCTTTATAATTTCTTGTTTTATCTTCCTAAATTTAGATTATCTCTTGTTTTAGCTTTTCGTCTTTTTAAATTTTATATATTTCTTCCATGGGCAGCTTTTATTTTCTTCACATATATATATAGATATATAGATATATATATATATATATATATATATATATATATATATAGAGAGAGAGAAGAGGAGGAGAGAGAGAGGAGAGAAAGAGAGGAGAGAGAGAGAGGAGAAAGAGAGAACAACCACGCACACAGGAATACAACACCTAACAACATCCCCTACTTATGTAAACAACATCACCTGCTTCACTTGCACACAGGCCTAAATATTAGCATATGGCTCGAGAGAGAGAGAGAGAGAGAGAGAGAGAGAGAGAGAGAGAGAGAGAGAGAGAGAGAGAGAGAGAGAGAGAGAGAGAGAGAGAGAGAGAGAGAGAAAGAGACAGAAAAGGAGAGAGATAGAGACCATTTTAAGCAAGAATTCGATGTAAAAACCAGTCTTGGGCGTATGGCACGCTAGTGAGTGTCATCCACCTGTCAGATCATCGGGGGGGGGGGGGGGGGTGGCGCGATGTAGCGTGTGACAACTGTGACGTCACTCGACCGCGCCTGGCCCAAGGATCAGCTTAGAGTGACATTTACAAAAGGCCGACTTGGTAACTCATTCATTGCATCTCCATTTTCATTCATGCATAAATGCATAAGCTTACTACGTCATCTCCTTAGATTAGAGTTTAAGTAATTGGCCTCCAGCTAGTGTATTTTTCTTTCCATTTTTCTTAATGGTTCTTATTATTTCCTTTTTTTTGGGGGGGGGGAGGATATTCGTCGTTTCTTTCTAAAATTGATTAAAATCTCGTCGTTTTTTTTAATTATATTCTTGTTTTTTTGGTGTGTATTTTTTGTGTTTGTTTGTTTTACAATCGATCTAAACTCTTTTCTTCTCTTCACCAGACGGACAGGCGCTGTTCAAGGCCTTCCTCCAGAGGGAATTTAGCGAAGAGAACGTCGAATTCTGGATGGCCGTAGAAGACTTCAAGAAGACCCGAAGCACCAAGATGTCTTCGAAGGCTTTCAAGATCCACTCGGACTACGTCGCGGTCCAGGCGCCTAAGGAGGTGAGCTCTCGTTCACCTGTCGCTCGTTAATGAAGTTTTTTTATTATCGGAATGAGTCACGTGGTCTTTGTAAGCTTATAGTCCGTTGTGTCTCGAATCCTTTCAATTAGGGACAAAGGCTTGGTGATCACGTGGCTTATTCGGACCTTCGTTTGGAAAGTGTGAGAGGAGTTTCGAAGCAGTTTCGAAAAGCGCGAGAGAATGATTCCTTTGTGCGTGCGTGCGTGCGTGCGTGTGTGTGCATGTGTGTGTGTGGTGTGTGTGTGTATGTGGTGGACTGAATCAGACCCAAAACGTGCCTGTGATTCAGTGACCTCAAAAAAAAAAAAAAAAAAGCTACACCTCGTTGTGGCCGCGAAGCAAAGGCCAAGCGACTCATGGCGGCGGGGCTGTTGACTAACGCCTTTTCCTTCGCCAATCGCGGTCTGAAGCTGAGACTCGACTTCACATGACTAACGGGAGGCTTCTCCTCTTTTACCCTTTAATTGGAGACGCGTGGGGGGCGGGGAGGGGGTGGGGGCAGGGGGAAGGGGGAGATTTATGAGCCCGCCCTTGCTGCAACCTCTGCAACCCTTCTCTTCAACTTCTGGCGAATAGTTCAGTTGAAAATGGACGCATATGGATGCCATCATCGACTCACTTACCGCGGTTCTTGTATCTCGACCCTTTCTCTCGGAATCTCTCTCGCCCACCCTCCTTCTCTTTCCTCTTATCCTTCTCCTCCTCTCTCTCTCTCTCTCTCCTCCTTTTCATCCCCCCCTACTCCCCATTTTCTCAACCCTTTCTCTCGGAATCTCTCTCGCCCACCCTTCCTCCTCTTTTCTCTTCTCCTCCTCTTCTCTCTCTCCTCCCTTTTCTTCCCTGTGCCTCCCCTCCCCCCATTTTCTTAATCCCTATTGCCACTCTGTCCCCTCCCCTATCCCCCTATCCCCCCACCCCCCTTCGAAAGGCACTGGGTTCTTGTTAGTCCCGGATCGATGAATGCTGGAAGCTGGAAGCGGATGCTGTGTCGCCATGGCAACCGAGAGCGGGAGGTGGGATGCTCGGCTGAGAGAGAGAGAGAGAGAGAGAGAGAGAGAGAGGAGGGGGAAAGGGGAGGGGGAGAGGAGAGGATGGAAGGGGTAAGGGGAGAGGAGAGAGAGAGAGAGAGAGGAGGCGGGAAGGGGAGGTGGAGAGGAGAGTGGAAGGATAGAGGAGGGGGAGGGAAGAGAGGGGAAGAAGAGCATGAAGTTGGAGCGAGGGAAGGTGGGCGGGATGGAGGTGGTTGGGGGTTGGGGGGGGAAGGGGTTAAGTAACAAAGGAAACGAAGCGGAATAAAGAGACAAAGAGAGAAAGAGAGAGAGAGCGAGTCGCGTTCCAGGTCCGCCATGGACTAAGTCTCATTCTCACTGTGTTTATGATCTGACATCATCGTCGTATATTTATGATTTTTTTTTTGTCTGTTTGTTTGTTTTTTTGTAATGAAATTAAGATAGATCATGTCGGCTCCCAAAGCGACGCAATTAATTTCTCTTCTTACATTTCCCGAGTTATTCTATACTCATTTATCTCTCCTCTCTCTCTCCCTCCTCTCTATCTTTTCTTTCTCTCTGTCACCCTTCTCTCTCTCTCTCTCTCTCTCTCTCTCTCTCTCTCTCTCTCTCTCTCTCTCTCTCTCTCTCTCTCTCTCTCTCTCTCTCTCTCTCTCTCTCTCTCTCTCTCTCTCTCTCTCTCTCTCTCTCTCTCTCTCTCTCTCTCTCCGCCCCCGCACCGTAATGGAGTCCTCGTGGGGGAAACTTTATCGTCTCTTTGACATTTATCTTCCATATGTATCCGGTTAGAAGACTAACAAACAAACAAACGAAAAGAAACGAGAATTTTTTTTTTATCATTATCAAGATGGCCTGCGATTCTCTTCATCCTGCAAGCCTTAAAGCAGAGAATAAGTCCGCATCACTTTCTTTACTTCTAGCTTTTGTTTCTTTGCGAAGGCGACAAAAAGATTCGCAACGGGTTGCAAGTGAAGTGTCCAAAAAAAGAGAAGGGATTTCAACATCTTTGCAAGCTGTTGATGCGTCTCCTTCTCGCGTTCAATCTTCCACGCACAGAGATGAGGATATATACCCTTTAAGTTACCTGGAAGAGAGGCTAAGGGGTAGGAAAGCTTGCTGGGGGGAGAGGGGGGGGGGGGGGAGATTGGGGTAGCGCGGAGGAGGAGGAGGAGGAGGAGGAGATGGGGTGGGGGGTAGAGGGGCGGTCTTTCTGTAAAGGTCAGAGGGGAAAGCTGGGATCGAGGGAGAGACTTGCTTTCGAGACCCAGCGATGAGGCTGTTATTTCGAGTGTTCTGTGCTCTCGTGTTTTATTATGCGTTGCGTTTTTGAGTTTGTTAGTATTATTTCTCTATTGGTTGTTTCGTTGCTAGATTATTTCTATAATGGTTGCTTCGTTAGCTAGTTTATTTCTCTAATGGTTGTTTCGCTTGTTAGTCTTTACGATTTTGTCTTCGTGGTGGCAGAGTCGAGTTGTTTATTTATTTATTTATTTATTTATTTAGACCGGGTTTCATAGCGTTGAGCGAAAGGAACGCCTACGTTTGCGATGAGGACGAGTGTGTAGCGTGCATATGGACGTGTGTTTGTGATGAAATGCGTCGCCTGACATTATACATCTTGACATATACTGTTTGTTTGTTTTTCTGAGGAATGCTTAGCCTGACCCCCTTTTCCTTCGTCCCTCAGATCAACCTGGACCCCGCCACCCGCGCCCAGATCGCCAAGAACCTCGAGTGCCCCGACAAGTACATCTTCGACGCCGCGCAGAAGAGAGTGCAGGCGCTGATGGAGTCCGACGCCTACATCCGGTTCCTGCAGTCGGAGCTGTACAAGGAGCTGCTCCACCCGGAGTCCTCCTCGCCCTCCAACGCCGACACGTTATAGGACCCTTGCTGCATGTCGGTTGCGAGCTCGACCATGCACTTGTAGCCCCAGCCCGTGCAAGAGGCTGGAGGTTTGGGACCAGCTGAGGCCACAGCGATAACAGCGCTAGCAGCAGGAGCGCCAACCTGGAGTGCCACTTGGAGCGCCACCCGGAGCCCGGCGAGGCCCCTGCGAGGAGTGGCGGTGCCTCTCCCGCCACGGAAGGCCACGCCGTTCGTGTGGGTGACCCGCGCCTCCGGCCAGGGAGCTAAGGGCTGTTACTCGACCTCCTCGAAGTCCTCCTTGACCGCTTCGAGAGGCAGCGGCGGGGCGTCTGCGCTGCCGTCGGCGACAGGAAATCTGGGGATATTTATATATATTTATTAAAAGGTGATATATATATAGACATACATTATATTTAAGGTATATTTGTATTTAAGAAACATATAAAACGGAGAATCTTGATTGCAAAGAGATTTTGTCAGTTTTCCTGCATACTTATTGTTATTATTCCGGTGTGAGTCCGTCGTGACTTGTGTTTGGTCAATTAAATCAGGTGTTAACCCCCCTCCCCCCTGCCCCCCCCATTCAATACGCCCGACGTAGCAGGTGCTCGCCAGCCCCCCCCCCCTCCCCCCGCCCTCAGACACGCACGAGTCACGTGTTGATGTCTTCCCCTCTCCCTCGCCCCCCCCTCCCCCCCCTACACGAGGCCGCCCCCTCCCCTCTCCCCCATCCTGATCTCCCCCCCCCCCCCCAAAGGCGGCCGTCCTGACTGTGATACCCCCTTCCCCGGCTGCCCGCCCCCCCCCCTCCCTCAAGTGATTGCGTGCTCGGGCCTGGGTCAGGGCACGTAGCTAGTCAAGGCCGGGGATCCTTCGAGGTCGACCTTGGCGTCCCTCGAGGGTCATCCCCGGCCGACCCAGCGCCGCCAGACCAAGGGGGACGTCGCTCCCTCCTGAAGCCCTGTGAAGCGCCACTCTTCTGTACCAAAGACGTTTTTCTACACTTGAAAGAATGATGATTTCAAAAAACGGTTCTAAAAAAAACGAAATAAAAAAAAAATGTATATGAATATATATGTATATCCATATATACATATATATATAGTGTGCATCTGTAAGCTTATACCAAGCTGTCGAAGTTGTAATATATTTCTTATCATGTTCTTTTGTAGTAGAATGCATCCTTGTAGAAATACAAGATTGATTATCGTATGCGACTTATTTTCGCATGCTCTCTGTACGACCACTTGTTCGTTTCATCGGTCGTTTGATGTCGCCGACCCAGCTGGCTGTCAGACAACCAGCTGGCGTCAGAGGGCTCGTGCTGACCTGCCCTGGTGACCTGCTATCTCCTTCCGGATACAGGTCACGAGAGGTCGCCCTTTGCAATGGTGATACAATGTTAGACCCGGTCGACATGTCAATACAGAAGCTTAATTTATTTATTAAGTTATTGATATTGTTAGCATGTAAGATGGACGCTGTGTTCCCGCCGATGGGGTTCTGAAGGGGAGGGCGGGGGGTAGAGGGAGGGAGGTGGTAGATACCCCCCACCCCCATCATCTCTCCTTCAGCCCTTCCCGAACCCCAGGCTATGGTAATGATTAATGTTGCCAATTATTATTATATACAAACATTCCAATATCATTAAAAAGGGAGTTCTTACGAACCCAATATTTGTTATATACACTATTTCATTTTTAAGATTCCAATTCTTCCTGACGGTGTATGAACCGTACACATACCCCACCTCAAGAGTACCAAAATCTCCACTGTACCAAAAGGAGATGAACCAAAAGGAACTTCTATGTTAATGACACGATTTCATCAATTTTTTGGCCTATATAACCCTTCCGGTATAGTCAATGAAAACGGAAAAAGATATATAACTCCTTTTTAGCCCGTATGAAACGAAGTGTGTCGCCCGTGATATACAAAAAAAAATGAAAGAAGAAAAACAAGCCAGATTTGCTGTTTTTATCTAGAACAACAACTCCAAGACCTCTTGTAGATAGTAAATGTTCTTGTACAAAAAATGACAAAACTTGTGCATTATTGACGAGTCTATAGTTTACTTAATAAAGACTTACCGATAATATCTTTTCTGTCTTTCCGTCAATCCTTCGGAAGAGAAAGCGAGACAAAACGGAGAGGAAATAAATGACAAAAAAAGACAAATTTGATAATCAGGAAATGGAGAAATAGAGCAAATTTAAAATGAAGTTGATGAAAGATATGAAAATAATTATAAGAATGGTAATGATAACGATAATGATAATGATAAAAGGATATTGGTAATAATGATAAATATGATAATGATAAATAATTATTATAATGAAAATGATTATGATAATAAAAACACTAATACTGATAACTGATTAAACAAACAAAATTAGATTTTTTTCATATTGGTGAATCTATATAAAATTTATTATGAATAACTCTTACGAAACGAAAAAATGAGTCTAAAAATAATAATAAAAAGCAAAGGAAAGAGAAACTGAAAAACAATATATAAATGTTTGTAGGAATGTATTTATAAATGCATACACACATACTTACAT